GCGCGCCCTCGGTGTTGTCTCACCATGCCGTCATGAAAGCCCCATCCCGGTGTGTCGGGTGCTGGCACTGAGTCCTGCCTGTGTGGCTACATCAGGGGGGACCTGCTGCCACTTTGGGGTGTCCTGAACTCCCCTCCCGGGTCCCCGGGTGCTGGGGGGCTGCGCAGTGGCTGGGCGCAGGCTCCTGGGGCAGTGCTTGACCCCTCACCATCTGCACGGGTTCATGGTTGATGGTGGTGCTGGCACCACGGTTTGCCAGGGGTGGCTGGAGCGGGCACGTGCCGAGGGGACACACCGCGCTGGGGGCTCCCAAACCCCCCTGGCTTCGGGAGGGCTTCACCCAGGCTGCGGGTTTCAAGCTAGGAGCTGGACCCTGCCCCACACCTCAGGAATCGCCCGTTTGTTAGCTTTCTGGTTGATCATTAACGAAGCCACCCAGCTGCAGCAGCCTGTGTCCGTTAAGGCTGTGCCCGATACCAGGGTGACAGGCAGCCCTGTGGCCTCGGCATCTCCCTGCTGCGCTGGTTTCCGGAGTCAGGACCTGCTGGAAATCCCCATCTCAGCGCCAGCACTTCCAGTTTCGGGTCGCAGATGGAGACGGGGTGTGGGAGAAGGGAAGGGGACCGGCATCGGAGTCTACCCGTATGGGCCATGTGCCAGGCGGGTGATGCCCGGCTGTGCGGGTGGACGAGCACGGTGGGCACTCAGCGATGCTGCCCCCTGCACCACACAACGCACCAAAGCCTGCGGCCCATGGCGAGGGCGGGCTAACGAGCTGGCCTGTAATTAGGCGGATTAGTTGAGCGTGGTGTTTTCCCTCCCAACAGGTCTGGACAGGCCCCGTGCGGTGCCTGTGCTGGGGAGGCAAACACCTGTGTGGGGGCTGCGGCATCCCCGGGGATGGGATGGGACGGGACGGGATAGGATGGGAGGGGACGGCTGGCCCCCAGCACCAGGGGACATGAGGGGTGCTGTGATGCTCCCCCATCAGCCCTGGGTGGGGGAACCTCGAG